AATAGGATGATGCTACCACCAGATAAAGGAACAAATAATCTTCTGGTCCAGCCATGTTCAAGAAGCAGTTTTGAAAGTGGGGGTTGGGGGTGGGTGCAGGAATTGCAAGATGTGAGACAAAAGAAGCAGAGATTAGTCGATAGGGGGATTGGTGTGTGTTGGGGAAAGGGGAGGTTGCAGACTTGAAGAGGGGTGAAAGCAGAAGTGTAAGCTCTACATGTAAACGAGGGATTTGGGGAGTTGTGACTAAAACAACAGCCTTTGAGCAGAAAGATGCTTAGGGGCTGGCTGGGAGATGACTGGCGTCCATGTGGTGAGCGCTTTGCCTGCCAGGCTCGGAGCTGGTTGTGTCTACAGGTGACCCTTAGTGTTTCCCCGTGACTGGACTGGGCACAAGACAGGCCTCTGACCTGCACTGCCAGGCTACTCCTCGGAAAAATGTGGGGTGACTTAAAGGTGCCAGGGAGGCAGGGGAAGATGAGATACTGGTAGGGGAAAACAAAGGCAGCAATTTGGAGGTAGAAAAAGAAAGGCATGTCTAAGGAGTCAGAGGAGGGAGCGCTCTCAGAGACAACTGTCATTTCCATGTGGGGTGAACTCCAGGCAGAGGCAGTCCCAGAAAGGGGGACTGCCTGTGGCACCGTTTGCCTTCACTTTCTTAGGGACAGAAGGGAACTCCTGGCACAGTGGCTCGGCCTGGGTGTTAGCTGGATGGACCATTGGGCCCACTCTAGTGTTCTGACTTCTGGAGCTTCTGGGGGCAGGGCATGGAGTCCAGGCTCAGAGCTCAGATGGACGCTGCTCCCTCCCGTTCCTCATTGTCTTCCCTCCCATCCTCACCGCAGGGCATTGCAGGCACAGACGTGGCCAAGGAGGCCTCAGACATCATCCTGACTGATGACAACTTCACCAGCATTGTGAAGGCCGTGATGTGGGGACGAAATGTCTACGACAGCATCTCCAAGTTCCTCCAGTTCCAGCTCACTGTCAACGTGGTGGCGGTGATCGTGGCCTTCACTGGGGCCTGCATCACTCAGGTGAAGGCCGAGATGGGAGGGACAAGACAGGGGCCAGGGAACATGGGGTGTGGGGTGCAGGAGGCTGAAGGTGAAGTAAGAACGGTGTTCCCAGTGGCATCAGGGCAGAAGTCAGCTACGTAGGTCCGAAGTCTCTATCTGCTCGTGGACACAGCTCCTGTCACCCCTAGGGTGATGGCAACTTCATTACCATTAACTCAGCCTGTGTGTCAGCCACTGATACACACATAGATGAATTATCTGTATTCAAAAACAACCTCGCAAAGTAGGTATTCTCTCCCATATTACAGGTGAGGAATCCAGGGCTCAAATGCGTTTAAGTGGCCAGATCCCGAGCCTTGATGTCTGGCAATAGTTAAGCCATTCCAGGGCAGGGGTGAGCTTGATGGGGTTGCTGAGGGGCAGTGGCCGGGGACAGCTAAAGGACTGGCTCTTCTTTCTCCCAGGACTCCCCACTGAAAGCCGTGCAGATGCTGTGGGTTAACCTAATCATGGACACATTCGCCTCACTGGCCCTGGCCACGGAGCCTCCCACGGATTCTCTGTTGAAGCGCCGCCCTTATGGCCGAAACAAGCCCCTGATCTCACGCACCATGATGAAGAACATCCTGGGCCACGCCGTCTACCAGCTCACTGTCATCTTTTCCCTTGTCTTTGCTGGTGAGCTGGGTGGGGGCGGGGCCTAGGTGGGCGGGGCCTATATGGGGCGGGGCAGAGGACGGCCTGAGGGATGATGGTAGCAGTCAGCTCAGGGAGTGCGTCCTCTGTTACTCTCTCGAGAATTTATAAGGGGGTCTTTATTCTGCTGTTGCCTTCTGAATTATAAAACGGGAGCTGGGGCCCCCTCTACCCCTCAGTGGCACAACTGGTTAAAGCACAGCACCATGAAGCTCACAGCAGCCTCTACAGCATGAGTTCGATTCCCCCGCCAGGGAGGTGACCCACATGGCATGGCAGACCTCTCCTGACCCGCCTGCTGCTCCCCTCAGCAGAGTGTTTCATCTGTTCTGCCTGTTCTGCTCCCCACTCTGTCTCTAGTGAATCTTACCACTCCTACACCTCTGGCCTGTGCCCCAGCTCTGTATGCAAAATAAATAAATCTTTAAAAAAAAAACAAAACGGGAGCTCAGGTCCATGGAGAGCAAGGCTGACAGTTAAAGGACTTGCTCGCTGGTGCAACTCAACCAGCTAGAAACAACACCAGCCCCAGCATGTATGGCCAGGTGTTCTCACTCATTCTGAGCCATGAGACAGTACTTAGCCCCGCCCCCCACCTCGCTTCCCTCCTCCCCACTAGGCGAGAAGTTCTTTGACATTGACAGCGGGAGGAACGCACCCCTGCACTCACCGCCCAGCCAGCACTACACCATCATCTTCAACACCTTCGTGCTGATGCAGCTCTTCAATGAAATCAACTCCCGCAAGATCCACGGGGAGAGGAATGTCTTCTCCGGCATCTTCCGCAACATCATCTTCTGCGCCGTGGTCTTTGGCACATTCGTCAGCCAGGTGTGAGATCCTAGCTGGAGTCATGGGGCTGGGGGGGCGGGGGGCGGGGGGCGCCTCTGGAATGATAAAGCCAGAGTAGCAGGAAAAGGAGGAAGTAGGAACCCAGCTGTGGGTTGAACTCTTGGGGTTCCCAGTTTGTTTCCATTTGCATGTTGCTCTAGAATTGGGCCTCAGCACAAGGCAGCACCTTGGTAGTGAATGACTCAGGATCCTTTCGTTACCTTTCTCAAACAAATTTCACAGAAGCCAAGGGGAGGGACATTCCTACCCCCCCGGCATGCCAGATGGACTGTCTCCCTGTGCCTGCTCCTTGTTTCTAAAGGGGTTGTCATAGAAAATGCTGCACAATTCACAAAGAGCCGCGGGGGCAAGGGTGTCCTCATAGCTGACAGAGCAGGCCTGGCTGGGCTCCCCCAGGGCGTGTCAAGGACACCACTGCCCTGGTCATCAAGGCTCAGGCCTCGCCCTTCTCACCCTCGTCAAGGCCAGGATAAAACATCTGTGGATACGACAGATCATGTATGAGAGCTCCCCAGGGTACCCCCGCTACTTGCCCCGCCCCCAGTTCCTCTTCATCATGATGCCTTCTGTTCACTACCCACTTGGCTTCACCCATAAGGCACCTCCAGCCCACCCCCCACCCCCAGTGCCCGCGTCCTTCCCTTGGTAACTCAGAGTAAGTCCGTCTCCCCATTGTGCTGCGTGACACAGGGCATGTGTGCCCCCTCTGGCTCCTGGATGTCACCTTTCCCCTTCCCAGCCGGTAGATCAGGACGTGCGCCACAGGGGTCCCGGGTCGGGCCGTGGATGCGGTGGCCTGGGCTGGAGGGCCACTGCCTGCTCCGTCTCCCTGATGCAGCCTGCCTCCTTCTCTGCTCTAGATCATCATCGTGGAACTCGGAGGGAAACCCTTCAGCTGCACGAAGCTCACCCTGTCCCAGTGGCTTTGGTGTCTCCTCATCGGTATCGGCGAGCTGTTGTGGGGCCAGGTGAGCGCCACTGTCCCCCAGCACTGGGGTGCCCCTCTCTGGGGATGCCACACTCCCAGCTCTTCCCCCGCATTCCCCCCCCCTCCTGCCCTCCCCACCATGACCCTCAAGTTCTTGCCATCTTCAGGGGCCCCAGGGTGGAAGGATCGGTGCTCCCCACATCCAGCCTTACCTCCAGAGGGCACACCTCTTTGCTTCTCTGAGAGGGAGTGATGTTCAATGGAATTTTGCTTTAAAACACGTAAAAATCATAGAGGTCATTCGTCTTCACTCTATTGAAACTGGAGTCCTGCTGTGAGTGCTGTACCGACAGAACTGGGGGCTTCCCCGCCCCTTCTGCTTCTGACCGTGAGCTCACCTGTGTCACTTAAGGTGACTCCAGACTCACGAGGTCTGGGAGCAGCTGCACAGCGAGCGGCTCACAGCATGGACGCTGGGCCTGACTGCGGGTTTGCATCCCAGCTCTCGCCCTGTTGCTAACGCGAGTCCCTCCCCCCAGTTCCGTTTGCTGAAGCTCATCCACCAGCAGCCCCAGAGAGCAGTTGTACACCGGGGCAACGCTTGTTTCACCTGTTGAAACTCCCCATGGGAGTTAACGGCACGACCACATGGCCTCGGTGCCACAGGCAGCTCGTCCCATGGCAGCTCCTCCCAGGTGGAAGCAGGACGCTGACGACCTTCCTGTCTCAGAACACGTGGCTCCTTGGGGCGCTGCTGCGGTGCTTGCTGCCCCACCTAAGCCCTGCACGCCGCTTGTTTGTAAAGGAGAGCTGAGTGGCAGGTGCCAAGTGCACCTAGTCCTGGGTGCTGAGGACTCACAACACAGGAATGCCTTTCACGTGGCCCGTCCTCCGAGGCGCCGAGCACTGCAGCTCTGTTCCCTTGAAAAGTGCTTGACAGGGTCCTCCCTGGTGGCACAGCGGGTTAAAGCGCAGCACTATGAAGCCGTCCGCAGCCACTGCAGCCCTGAGTTTGATTCCCCAGCCAGGGAGGTGACCCACATGGCCCGGCAGACCTCTCCTGGCCCACCCAGTGCTCCCCTCAGCAGTGGATTTCAATGGATCTGTCTGTTCTGCTCCCCATTCAGTCTCTGGTGAATCCTCTCACCCCCTGCACCTCTGACCTGTGCCCCAGTTCTTGTATGCATAAATAAATGCAATTTAAATAGAAAAATGCTTGACAGCTGGAAAGGAAGGACTGAGACAGGCAGCTGGTTGGTTACGAGGTTTAATGTATAAGTTCCCCTTGGTGTGTCCATAAAGGCAGAAGATCTTCCTGAGGGCCTGACAGCTGGTGACCCTGGGTAAATGCCCGCCCGAATGGCTGGGGCTCCCTCCACTGTTCTCCCGGTAGGATAGGAGCGCGGACTAGGCCTGTCGGCTGATTAGGCCAAGCCCGCCATGGGCCTGAGCCAGGTCAGTGAGGTGACTGTGGTTCTCACCCTGATTCTGGTCTCTCCTCTTGCTGCCCCTGTTCTCAGGTAATCTGCACGATACCTACCAAATCCTTGAAGTTCCTGAAGGAAGCCGGGCATGGTACCACCAAGGAGGAGATCACCAAGGACGCTGAGGGGCTGGATGAGATCGACCTGGCAGAGATGGAGCTGCGCAAGGGCCAGATCCTCTGGTTCCGCGGCCTGAACCGCATCCAGACTCAGGTACTGAGAGTGGCCGCGCCTCACCCTGGGAGGGCTCTCCCCTCAGAGGCCCATTACTCAGGGCAGCCCTGGGCCCCCGGCTCCAGGGCAGACCGATGGAGACATAGCTTTGTGGGTCCTTCTGAAAGCAGAGCCGCCCCGGGGCCTGGAAGAGGGACGGTGTCAGCAGAACCCACCTTCTCAGGGTGCTAAGGCCCACTCTGCCATTTCTGTGGGGCGGGCAAGCTTCCTGCATTTAGGTTCTTGCAGCACTAAGCCTACCCCAGGTGGGTGTGTCAGACCGTGTCTGCCGTTGGAGGTCTGTAGATGTTATCTGGAGGGATCTATGTTAAAGACACCACCACTCACCTTGTGCACTCACTCAAATGGAGGGTCCCGGCCGGCTAGCTGATGGCCAAGTGTGTGTCAGTGACCACAGTTTCTCAATACTAGAGTCTCTTTTGCAGGATTCAGATTTGCTTCCCAGAAAGCAAGAAGCTATAATTTCTTCAAACCTTCCCCTTCTTACAATTTCTAAAGGAGAAAAAAACTGCTTCTGTGTTCTGAAGTCTCCTGTAACTCTTTCCCCCCATTTCCACAGCAACTGTAACTGCCTTCTCCTGGGTGATTGGGGAGCCCGGGCAGGGATAATCCTGTCACTTTCCTGGATGCCTCTAACCATGTTGGTCCTGAGATTCCCTGTCTCCAGAGAACTCAAGGGTGCTTTCCACAGAGCAGCCTCTTTCTCTCTGCTGATTGGCCGGAGAGCCCAGAAATAAGTTTCACTTTCCAACCTGGCAGACAGTTTAGAGAGTTCCCTAGTCAACCTTACCTCCTTAGCGCACCAGGGAGAGAGGGGAAGTGAATATTCCAAGCACTTGCTAGGAACTTGTGTCCAGGGACAAACAGCAGATGGAAGAGTGGGAGGGTAGGTCGACTGGGCTCCTCCTTCTAAGTTCCTCCTCTTAGAAATGCCCACAGCAGCATTCTCACTCCCTCTCCACCCTCCACCCAGCTGCTGAGTCCATCACTGGCAAGAACCTCTCATGCCCAGAGAGCCCGGGCATTGCGCTCCTGTCTCTAAGACCCCAGCGCTTCCCGTTAAGTTTGCATTTTGCGAAATAACCTCTCTGCTTTTCCTCCCTCCAGGAACATGTAACCTGTACCTTCTCTTTTACTCTCTGGGTTTTTTGTGTTGTTGTTTTTTTTCCCAGCCAGAATTCTCCAGTGACTCCTGGCTCCTTGCCAGTCTCCCTCTGGGGGAGCTGCGATTCATGGCTCTTCTTTCTCCCCAGCGCCAATGTCCGTCCCCTCGCTGTCTGCTCCATTTCGTTTCACAGCCTTGTGTAGCTTCAGCCTGACTAGCTTCCCGTTTGGAACTCAGGCATTTAAGCTGGAGCCCATCTCCTGCAGCCAAGGCAACCTCTTAGCGATGCCACCATGACCAACCTGTGCCCTTCATGAGCGCCCGGCTTCCAGGCCAATAGGCCGGCTGTGGTAACTGGTGCCCTCGGTACCTGGCTCTGTCGCCTGGCTGCCATCACCCTTCAACCTCAGCGGAGCGCTGACAAACTGCACCCCCCCTCCCAACTGCTGATCCTTGTTATTCTCTTTGCGACCCCAAGGTGGGGAGGTGGTGGCTAAGCTCTTGCTCTGTCCCAGCCCCTCTAAAGGCCCTGGAAAGCAGACGCTGGGAAACACAGGGCCAGGACCCTGGCAAAGTAAACTTGGGGTCCAGTTCTATCGTGGAACCTGGGACCCTAAGAAGCACAGTCCTCTGTGCCCCTCCTTCCAGGTAGCCGAATCCTCTCCTCTTACAGAAACAGGCTGCTAGTCCGCTGGCTTGGGAAACTGGTTCAGCTCTAACTTCAACTGGAATCCAGAAACTAACCTGAAATACTCCGTGATTTCTCAGGAAGCTTTATAAATCAGAGTGCCGGGGCCTGCTTTCCCAGCCTTTCTTGGGGAAAGGAAGTCAGATAAATGCACCTCTCCTGCATTCCAGAGGGTCCTTGGGGTGAGGCATGTGGGCATTTTTAAGGCAGTTCTACCAAATTCTGAAGGATATAGGAATCCCTTTTGTCGTTCCTTGTTACTGAAGTGTCAGGTGTAATGTAAAGGTGGGGGACTGGACTGAAACCCCAAACAAGACCGTTGTTGGAAAACCAGTGGCCTATTAATTGCCTGTCTCCAGGGGTAGGATACTGGCGACTGGACTCTGTTGGGGTCCAGGAAGCATGGCCGCCACCATGCGGACTCTGGACACCTATTTTCCTTTTGAACTCGTGAGATATTTTCCCAGAAAAGTTGCAAAAATTTAGAGCCTGAGCCTCAAAATCCACCCCTTTACACTTTGTATTACATTACCTGCCTTAGAGCACAGATCAAAACAGTGGGTTGAGTCTCACTGTTAGGAGTCCCTTTACATGTTAGACTTGGGGGTAGGAAAGGCCTCTGGCAAACCTGAAATGTCCTTCCTAGGCTAAAAGGGAAGAGAAGACTGGAATCAACTGGGTCTCCAGACTCCACAGTGGCGTTCCTTCCCCCTCTACCGCCCCCCCCCCTTTCGTGTATAAAGGAGGGTCTCTCCCCCTTCCTCTCTCTCCTGCTCTCTGTGGAGCAAAGCTGTCTCACTCTCTGATTCTTTGCAGATCGACGTAATTAACACATTCCAGACGGGAGCCAATTTTAAGGGAGTCCTAAAGCGGCAGACCATGGGTCAACACCTTGACGTAAAACATGTTCCTATCTCGTCCTGTGTCACAGTGGCACCAGGCAAATCTCCCCCCACCACCTCTGTTGCTGCTGTTTCATCTCCTACTCGGGGCAGTGAGTGACAGTCTATTACGATGCATGATTCGCTAAAGTGGCCACCGGAGCATGCAGCAGTCACTTAACCAGCGTGGTTATCTTTTTCTTTGCGTTTCCCTTTGATCTCTTGACTCACCGGGAGAAAAGTGGGGCGGAAGTTCCACTCCCAAGCAGGCATGAGCCCTTGGAATCTCTTTAAGTGTGGCAAAACGGTGCATCCATGCCTGGTTGAAAAGACAATGATGGTGTTTTCAGACTGTTTCTGCATTGCTTGTTTCTCCCTTGAGTTTTTTCCCATTACTTTGTGGTTTTTTGTTTCTTAATTTGTTTGGACATGTTGTTTTTGTTTCTCTCCTCTCCTCCTCCTTGGAGTCAAAGTCTGTCTCTGAAGGTTAGATGTGAGGCTAGGCCGGATGGAGACACTCACACACTCTTCCATTGGGGGGCCTCAGATCTACCCAAAAAAGATAGGGGAGATGCTGTTCCACCGAGATTTTATCATTAGAGCTGCCGTTGAGCTGGCCACTGGTCACTACAGCGTGCCATAGTCACCCAGCGCTGTGGCCTGCTACGTATCTGAGTGGAAGAAAGAGGTCAATTGAAATACACAGGTCTAGACACTCCCCCCCACTTTTTTTTTTGCTTTGCAGGGACTTTAATCCAACTCTGGTTTTAGAATCAATTCATCCCACATGGTCAGAGAAATATACGAAAAGATCATAATAACATTTTTTTCTTGCTAAACATTTTTTTAGGCATTTCTGAAGAACAAGTCTTTTCTCTTTTTTGCTTCTCTTTCCTCTACTCTGGCTGCCTCACCAGTAGCCAGCCTATCTATCTCTCTGTGGTGAAGTTTTAGGGCCCCTTTCTTAGCCAGCCTGGGACTGCTGTCAACACAGCCTGAGATCTCATGTTTCCTTGGGTAGATTCTTAGCTTCTTGCTTCATCCTGCTTCTTTTATCTTCCCCAGTACAGAGCAGAAAGGAAACTCTTTACTGATACCGCTATTAAGGAATCAGCGGTGGGTATCTAACAGGGTGGTCCCCAGGAAAAGGGGAGGTCCCTGGTTCCCTTCCCAACCCAAAGGAGGGTGGAGCTGAGCACGAATGGCAGAACCTATGTGGAGGTTTAGGGGCCCTGGGGTGCCCCTCTCCCTGTCTTGTAACAGGGGAAGAACATTCTCTCTGTGGGGGTATATTGAGAGCTTTAAATATCCAAGTGTTCCATCCTCCCCCCAATGTACCCACCCTGGTAGCTCAAACCCTGGAACATGAGGGTGGGAAAAGAGAAGATGCCTTGTCTGTGGGTCATGTGACCGTGAGCCGGGCCGGGTGACCAAACAGACTGTTGTCACTTTTAACCAGCTGTAAGTGGGTTGGGGTTTGCGTAGATACAGATTTCCATAGGCCCAAAGGCAGGTGAGAAAGAACCAGAGAAGCCTTACTGTGAGAATATCCAAGCACTTCTTACTCTAGTCCTTGCATAGTTCTCTATTTCCTCCTCCTAGGTAGCTTCTGCCCTTTATATCGTGCCTCTCTGTCAGGAAAGGCTAGAGTCAGGGTCCCACTGACTGAAGGTGGAAGGAAAGTCAGCAGAGGACTGAGCCCCGGCTCCCTAGAGCTGCGGGTAGATAGCGCCCCTTGTCCAGCCGTGCCTCCGTGTGCCGAGTTCTTCCAAGTTAGATTCATGCATCTAAAACCCCTTTCCATTTCAGAGCGTTCGGTCACTAAATCTCTTAAGATTTTCCTTGTGGAAAGGCCCGAATCCCTCCTCTTCCTCTGGTTTCTGAAAAGGGAGCAGTAAACTACAAGCTACCAGCTGAAGGACGAGGTGTCTTCACCTCTCTGTCCTCTGAGCTCCAGAGCGGGGCTGAGAGCAGGAAGGGCCTGAAGCTTTCACAGCACCTGCTTAATCAGCTCCATCTTGCTCCCTGCACGTGGTTCAGGCCCTGGCACCAGCCAGAGAAGGTGCCGCCACTGGAGTGTATTGGTGGTGTATCTCAGTGACTCTTCACCAGCTTATATTAAGTTCTCTGAGGGCAGTGTTGGAGCTGAGGAACATTCTGGCTCCAGCCTGTGCCCTCTGCCTCGTCACCCCTCTCCTACCCACCAGGTCACCAGGAGCTCCCACCCCCCTCCACCCCCATCTCTCTCAGTCATGTTCACTTGAATGTCCCTTGCAGGTGACAGGTTTCCCTTTAGATCCCAGAGGCCTTCCCTCTCTGTTGCTTGCTCCCCCAAAGGAGAAACCCCCACCTATCTTCTGTCTACCTCTCCCCAATTTACTTTCTCTCCCTCCTTGTTGCCGGGAACAGTGTTACTTGGCCACCCTGACAGATGAGAGGAAAAGCTAGCAAATGGCTTCAGACCCTCAGGCAAGCCCCCTTTTTTTAAAACCTGCTTCCTACACTGGATTTCACAGAGGGTTATTTCATTAAAGTATCCAATTCCTTTAAAATATGACAACGTTCACATAAAGATAGCTGTTCTGTAGTGCTTGTTAGAAATTTGAGTTAAATACAGGTGAAAAGTAGGGCTGTGTTATCTCCTTCAGGGAGGTATCTGGCCTTGCACCCAAATCTTGACCAGAGCCAAGAGAGAAGGCCTGGAGTTCAGGCTTACTCAGTCCAAGTTGCCTTGCTCTAAGATTTGACAGAGATAGCTAAAACTTGAGACTTCCTGAAGGCCAGATGGGACCTCTGCTCCAGCTGACCGCACCAAGGTCTGGAGCACAGAGAGCATGGCGGGTAAAGTTCACCCTCCTAGACGGTCAGCGGGGAGCTGAGGAGGTGGGGACCTCGCACTTACTCTGCTCAGCTCGGCGAAGGTAGGCCCAGGCGCTTCGACGACTCTTGCCTGAGCTGTTGAGCTGATTCTGTGGGGTGGCAAAGAGTCCTTTGCCTGCCAGATTTTGAGCACCCACACTCATTCCCAGGTGGGTCAGCCAGGCTCTGGGGGAGCAAGGGAACAGGAGGAATGCCTGAGTCCGCTGCACGCAACTTCAGTGGTCCTTCTCTGCCCGTGATTTGCACAAGCTCTGTGCGGTGCTGGAAACTCTGAAAGAGGCCAGCTGACCAGTTTACTGGCCAGACTCGTAGTGTGCCCTACTACTCCACATTCTCGACTCTTCTCCAGGAACATCTTCTTTGCTTCAATGACAACAGAAAGAAAGGTGGCCTACCCCACCTTCCATCACTCCTCCCTCTTCCTTCCCACTGCAACAATTTCTCCTGCATCACTCGCATTTCTTTTTGAGGGGCTAACTTTTGGGTAAGACCCACCTCCCAACAACCAACACTGTTCTACAATCATTTACCCCTCCCCGCCACCTCCCCATCCCCTGGATCCAGCATTTCCCCTACCTCAACCCAGGCTCTAAGCCGCATCCCCAGAGGCCTGCAGTTTGGGGGCAGAACTGGCCAAAGGACCACTGACCACTGGCTATGGAAGAGGCAGAGGCCTGTCCCAGCAGTCAATGACTGTTCTCGTCCTCTTCTTGAAGTGGCCGGACCCTTCCCTTTTCCGTGTGCAATTGCACCGAGGCTTCGACTCTACCGGTGTCCCCAGTAAAAGGGCCCATGGGTGCTCCTGTCCCCAGCTGAAAAGCCTCCCCGATTGCAGCGCTGCTTGCTGGACTGGGCGGTTTCTTTCCTGATCTCATCCCTCCCTTCTCAACACAAGCTCACATTCTCCTTTGCGATCTGGGCCCACTGGGGACAGCCGCACCCCAAGTAGTCGCTGTGTCCAAGACACAGATGGGCACGTAAGCTGTGAGCGCTGGTCTCTCGTCAGGAGGTACCTGTGCCCACCTGTCCTCCAGGAGAGGTACTGAAAAAGTAAAGTTCTGCTCTCTTGGGGGGGCCGGGGACAGAAACATATGCATGTTTTCTGATGGAAGGGGGAAATTAAGTTGGAGAATGTCAGTTTTAAAGTGTTGCATGCTACTGCACCAGTGAGGGTTGGTTTGTCTGCCTTGCTGCACGGGATTCGTGGTCACTTATCACCCGAAGTGTACTCTGTGCATAGTGGTTTGCCCGGCTCTTTGAAGGTTGTAAACTGACAACTAAACATCAATATGTAATTTTTCCATTTCATGTTCACGACATGTTTGGCCTGAACACAGAAGTCCACGTGTCTGAATCTTTTGAGTTTGGCTATTAATTTGCACCTAGCTCCAACGTCATTGCCCTCCATCGGAAGGAAACTAAGGAACCTCGTTGGTTTCTGTTTCTTTGCGAGCGGATTGTTTGGGAATGCCGACTTTGCTTTGGGTTTTCTATTTATTTTTTTTTTTACGACAGTTGAGATATCCTAGTTGTCTGCCTTGACTCACCCACCCCGTGCTTGACATTCGAGCCACGTGATGTCTCTGGCCTTCCACGACCTCTTCTTAGATGTATTGTGTTTGCTCGTTGTGCATATTTCCACTTGGGCTTTGTTTCTCTCCTTAACCCGGTTCCTTGGTCCACCAGCCCATGCTCACCTCCTTCTCCCTGTCCTTTCCCCGGTGTAGATCAAGGTGGTGAAAGTATTCCATAGTTCCCTCCACGAAACCCGTCACAAACCCAAGAACAAAGACTCCATCCACAACTTCATGACCCAACCTGAGTTCTCCATGGAGGAGGAGGTGCCGCGGACTCCGCTGCTGGAGGAAGATGAGGAAGTTCCCGACAGCGCCGCTAAGTCTGGGACTGGGGTGCTCCTGTTGGACGGTGAGGTCACCCCACAGGCCAACAAAAACAACAATGCAGTGGACTACAGCCCAGTGCAGACTGTCGCCTCCCACTCGGACAGCCCCGTGCACAGCCTGGAGACGTCAGTTTGAACTTGATTCTCTGACCCCCCGTCCCTGCTTTTCCCTGTCTCCTTTGTCCAGCCTCTAAGGTGATGATGGGACTTTTCACTGTCATGTCAGCGGCTCCCAAGTATGTGTGATTCACCCCTATGTGACCACGAAGAGGCAAGCACGCAGACCTACTAAGGATTTGGCTTTAAAAACTCAAACTGGGGTTCGTAGCAGGACCCCATTGAACCCCAGGGGGTAATGAGGAGTAGGATCTACTTCCTGGGGTGTTTTCATTGTCATTTTTAAAGAAACGACAACAGTGCCCTTGGCCTCTACCCCAACCCAAATTCTTACCCAGTATTCATATGTAGGTCACATCTCCTGACTTCTGGATTTTACCCTATGAGTCTGTGCTATTTATAAGCTTGATTGAGGGTTCACAGAGACACATATCCTCAAACGAAATGTCTTGAGGTAAGAATGGAGTGTGCAGAACCAGCCTCTATAGGGATGGTTGTTAAAACAATTTTCCCATTTTGGAAAGCTCTACTTAAAACCTGCTAGCTCTTTCTGCCCTTCCAGTCAAACCTCCCCAAGGTTCTTTTGGTCTCTCGTGACTGTTGTCTTCCTTCTCTTTACTCTTTGCTTTTTAATTTAAGTTGATAAGACATTAGAAAGGGCACGGATCAATTAAGTCAACTTTGACCACTCCCCCCTTCTGGTGCCAATGGAACTCTTGATTTCGTTCTAAAGGCAGAGAGGTCTGCCTTGTCTGTTGCAAGGGTCCTTGGGAAGCAATTAAGAGCTGCTAGGAGTGTATTCCTCTTCTTGCCAGGTTACCTTTTCTGCTTCAAAACCGCCATCTTGTCAGGTGTGTGTGCTTTTTAAGTGCCAGGGAGATCAGTCTTGACAACGAAGCTCGTGTATATGTGGTATACAGTTTTGCTGAGAGCCTGAACATTCTCCTGATACAAAAGTGGTAGGGAAAGAAAGAATGGAAAATAGCCCTGCCCCCAACTGAACTTGGATGTCGAAGACCAGAATCTGGCAGGTCTAAGACAAGACAGACCGTCAAAGCCAACTTTGGTGGGGTCCTCCTTGGGGTGACCACTACTGCTTTCAAAGCCATCCACCAAGGCTCTTCCAGGGCAGAACCTGACTGTTAGGGTTAGGACTAAGTGTTCAGAAGCTTCAGGAAGGGCTCCCAGAAGCCATTCTGCAGGATCTGAGAACACCTTCCTCTGAGAAACCAGAAACCTTGTGCCTGGGTGATGAGATCCAAGCTTTGACAGTCCCTTTATTTTTCTTAGTCTAACATTTTTGCCATGTCCCCTGACCCATACAGTCTCTGAAGAGGGTTCAGCCTTTCTCAAACATTCTGGCTGTGCCAACAAGATGTATCCCAAGTGGAAGGCTCCAGTGACAATGAAGGAGCAAAAGGCCTACTCTGAAAAGCTCCCCTTCCTCTCTTCCCTTCTCCCACGTGCCCCCCCCACTCCTCTCCAGGATGTGCCCCAGTGGAACCCTGAGCCTTCTTTCCCTGAACACTGCCCAATGCATCCCCCGCCCCCACCCCCACCCCCTGGAGCTGGGGGCTGCCCTCGGAAATGAAGTGTTCCTTAGCGAAACAAGCTGGAGCCAGCTGCATGTGCTGGATCCGTGTGGCAGGAGGTCCATCTTCATCCCTGCTGGTCTTGACTTTGGCTCATCTGTCGGGAGGGTCCGCTCTTGTCTGCCAGGTCACCTTTCCCATTAGGTCAGTGTCCCTTGCCTTCCTCTTTCTAGAATGCTGGGAGTAGGAAGAAAGGGTTTGAGACTTTTGGGAATTGCTGAGTTTCCATTTGTGCAAGGTGACCTGGACCTCTCCAGCCGCCTTCTGGAGTCCTTCCTCACCTGTCACCTGAGCTGCGCGAGGGAGAGTGAACAGAAAACACCCCCGTCCATCCCATGACTGCATAACCCACCGATTTGGATTTTGGCTTTATAGAGCTTACATGCTTCAGTAATTTCTCCCTCTGTCTTAAATACCCTCGGGGGGAAACCCACTCAGCCAAGGTATTAGGTGTTCATATATATATTTATTAAATACATCGGAAGCTTTAGTTCTGTCAAGTCTTTTATTACCTCAGATCAGTTTAAAAGCCAAGCCAATAACAAACTTTGAAGGCTCTTTTATCATTCCTGCGCCCTGTAGACGCCCATGATGCCTCACAGGTCACTCCTGAGGACGTTACGTGTGTCTACTTGTTTAGCGTCAACGGTTTTTGTGTGTGTGTGTGTACTCTAGTTTCCATAGTAGGAGAGAAAATAGAAAAATATTATGCAAAAATCTATAGTTTTCTTTAGATCAGAAACCGATATTTTTGAGTCAGCCATATGTATTTTGTTTAAAAGACTTAAGTGCCGTCATGTAACCCTGTGGATGGAGCACATAACCAGCTGTTAGACATGACAGGTGACTTAGTATATTTGTAATTGGTTTTAAAACCGACGCAATTTACTTCCTTTCTCCAAACAGCCATCTTTATACTTAGGGGAAAACAATTTGTTGGGTTCTAGGCTTTTTTAATATAAATTTTGTTGATATGGAATTGAGTAAGTTTAAGTGTTTCTATGCATATGTTTTTTATATAAGTTTTTTTTTTCTACTCAGTTTCAGTGATCCAACTGGCAGTGAATAAATATGGCATAAGTTAATAAAGCTTTCCCCAAAAATGGTGCTTTGGGTTTGAAAAGGGTCTGATGGGGAGAAGGGGAAAACCTCTTGATAAACCTAGAAAACAGGCAGCAGACTACAGCTAAGTGGAAGACCTAGCAAGGTGGAACAGCCAGCAGGAAATGCGTGAGCACCCCCAAGGAGGAGGGCCCCAGGCTCATTTGTAACCGGTGGTGAGGAAGTGAGGAACTTCGGGGAGATTTGGGTTTCTTGAACACCTGGCAGAGCAGTACCCGAAACATGAATACCTCTTGAGCTGCAAGGGTTCTTTCCTATCACCCCCAGAAATTTCCACTAGTGAGTTTTTGTGCCAGGGTCCAATTTGGGACTCTTCCTCCCCCTAGCGAGGTTTGTGCAGTGTATCAGATGGGGGACAGGGCCCAGAAATGAGCAGAACAAAGGCTGGTTTCAGCTCTGGCTGACAGTCTTGGGGATGGGGCTAGGTCCCATTCTCGGTCCTGAAAGGCGATGGAGAGACCACCTTGTGGATTCTTTCAGGTTTAAGTTTCTTCTTCCCCTGGAACTTCAGAGGGGAGCATTGCTTATTAAATCTGCGTGACTGCTCACTGCTAAAAAAACCAGAGCGGGCAGCAAGCCTGGTTTCCTTTCTTTCCTGCAGTCCTTGCCTACCACACCATACCTAGGGATCACCCACTACAGTGGTGGGGGTGGGGCACTTTTCAGTGCCTGCTATTCTTAAGCCATTCCAGACTCTTCTCAGAATAGAGAGCCACCCTCCCCCTTTGCTCCCAGCCAGCCCTTTGCCTTCCCAACTCTGCTGTCAGGCCCGCTGCCCTGTTCCTCTTGACTGGGAGAGCTGCAGGGAGGTGAGCTCCCCACGACTGACGTGGCCTGTGGTTTGTGTTTCACATGTATATACGCCATATGTGCATATGCCATGGATGTGCCAACACAACTCCACGTTGTTCTTTTCAAGTCAGCACGCAGATAGGAATTCTGAGTTTCTCTTTTTTTTTTTTTTTTTTTTTCAGTAACTAGTATAACAGGCACTGGTATTTTTGTATAAAAAAAGAAAAACAAAATAAAAGATTGACTGTTGTGGTCTGCATGATAGAAACAAATGGTGATATCAAAGCAACATGCACCCCCGTGTGTGTTGCCATAATTTGCAGTTCAGCTTAACAGTGCACCCAATCTGTATTTGCATTCTGATATTATTTAAACTCTGTACAATGTTTTGCATGTATTTATGTGGTTCATAGGGAAAAAAAAAATTGCTTTCAACTGGCAAATCTGAAATTCAAATATGTTGTTCCACCGAGACAGGAAGAATAGGATTTTAAAAGAAGGGGGGGAAAGGATAAAATTTGGGGAACCAATAAAGCTTGTTGCTAATGAGCAGAAACCAGTACTGCCGTGCACTGAGAATAAAGCCCAAGCCCACGTGTGACTGCTCTGTCCTCCATGCGTCTCCGCTTTAGGGTCGGGTCCCTGGTTAAGAAGGTTGAGAAGGAATCTGCGCACCGCGCCCAGATCCCCATCTGTTCAAACCCCGGCCCTGGCAGACCCTTCCACAGTGCTTCTCTGGCAGCGCAGGACCCTGCTGGCCAGCTTCATCCCCTTGTCCAAAGTTTGCTCTGCTCAAGCTAGTGAGTATCTCCGGTCTGGGAGCTGGAGCTTTTGAAAAAGTGTGTGTTTGGGAAAACAAGATAAATTCAAGCTTGACAGTCCTTTTTAGTCCTTTTTTTTTTTTTTAAGATTTATTTATTTATTCGTACAGAACTAGGGTACAGGCCAGAGATGCGGAGGGTGAGAGGCTTCACCAGAGACAGAGTGGGGAGCAGAACAGGCAGATCAGCGAAGTACACTGCTGAGGGGAGCAGCGGGCGGGTCAGGAGAGGTCTGCCGCGCCATGTGGTCTCCTCTGGGGCAGGCGGGGATCGAACTCATGTGGAAGTGACTTAAGCTTCTTTGTGCTGTGCTTTAACCCCCTACACCACCAGGGAGGGCCCCTTTTTTTTTTAAGGTTTATTTATTTATGCATACAGAACTGGGCACAGGCCAGAGGTGCAGGTTGATGAGAAGATTCACCAGAGACAGTTGGGTAGCAGAACAGGCAGATTGATGAAGTACACTGCTGAGGGGAGCAGCGGGTCAAACAGGTCACCTCCCTGACTGGGGATTGAACCCTGCTGCAGTGGCTGTGGAGAGCTTCATAGTGCTGTGCTGTAACCCCTTGCACCACCCGGGAGGGCCCTTTATTCCTTTTTTTAAATATTTATTTAGTTATGCTTACAAGAACTGGGGTATAGGCCAGAGGTGTGGGGACAATGAGAGGATTCATCAGAGACAAAGTGGAGAGCAGAACAGGCGGATCTACTGAAATACATTGCTGAGGGGAGCAGTGAGCAAAACAGGAGAGGTCTGCACACCGTGTGGGGATTGAACTTGTGCAGCAGTGGCTGTGTGAACTTGTGCACAGCTTTGCAGTGCTGCACTTTAACCTACTCTGCCACCAGGGAGAGCCCCCCCGTTTTTCTAAATGAATCTTTCTTCTGGGAAAATGAGCTCTCCTGTATTAGTATCTTAAAAAAGAATGCTCTGTTGGGTCCTCCCTGGTGGCGCAGCACTAAAAAGCTAAAGCCACTTCCGCTTGAGTTCAATCCCCACCTGCCCCGGAGGAGATCCACATGGTGGACAGACCTCTCCTGACCCAGCCACTGCTCCCCTCAGCAGCGTGCTTCATCCATCTGCCTTTTCTGCTCCCCGCTCTGTCTCTGGTGGATCCTCTCACTGTCCGCATCTCTGGCCTGTATGAATAAATAAATCTTTAAAAGAAAAAAAGAATACTCTGTCTGTCCTCCACTTTACCAAAGGCTATTAGTGTCCCCTTCCTCAGCCGCTGTGTGCTCTCCCTAAGGTCACTAGGTGGAAGTTCTCCATCAAGCCTGATTCCTTCCCAAGTCCACACACGACCATGCAACTCCCTGACTTTGTGGAAAATCCAGAGATGAATCATAGGGTGCCCTTGAGCTGGTTCCCAGGCCCTGAGCATGACGTCATGTCAATATAAAGCAGGAAGGAGAAAGAAATGTTCTTTATTAGCAAATAAAGCCCTGTTGTAAATATAAAAGGTAAGCTCGTGGCTCTCTCGCTGCATAGGATACTAATAGGAGGTGTTCCCGATGTGAAGCTGAGCCCCAAGAGACCATAACTAAGTAGATTCATACACAGGAGTACCTTAACCCAGAGATGTCCTGACTTTTGGGTTGTAGGTTGGCCTAATATGGAACTGGTCACAATCCCTTACTTCTCTGAAACTGGTTTTGAAGAATATTTCCTTGCCTTCAGAACACAAACACGCAAGGGTGGGGGGGAGGCAGTCGCTTTAGGGTGGCCACTCACTGCAAGCTCCTGAGAGACTGGTGTCAAAATCAGAACGCCCCTCCACATTCCCTCATAGTGAGAATGTAGGCAGCCATCTGACTTCCATCTTACTGGAGGACTGCTGTTCATGAAATGTGCCCAAGGGACACGTGAGCTGTCACAGTGCCAGCACCGTCACACTCAGAGCTGGGTGGATCCCCCTCGACTCTCGCCTACCCCTGGTCCCTCAGCTCAGCTTTTTCTGACACCCCTCCCCCCCATACTGGAGGTCACGCAGACCACACTGGTACTAGCACATTCTTTTCCCAAACAGCACGACTAATCTGGTTAATTCTTGCTCTGCTGGACCCTGGAACACTACATTGAAAGACTGACTTGTGTTTCTGTAACTTCAGATCTTCATTTATGAGCCTTGTTTTTGTTTGTTTTTAAAGATTTATTTATTTATGCATACAAGAGCTGGGGTAGAGGCCAGAGGTGTGAGGAGTGAGATGATTCACCACAGAGTGGGGAGCTGAACAGGTAGATGTACTGAAATACACTGCTGAGGGGAGCAGCAGGCAGGTCAGGAGAGGTCTGCTGTGCCCTGTGGGTCAACTCCCTGGCCAGGGGTCGAACTCATGCTACAGTGGCTGTGGACAGTTTCATAGCATCCACAAACAGCTGTGCTTTAAGCTGCTGCACCACCAGGGAGGGCCCAGGGCCACCTCTGAATGCATTGCTCCCACCCAGTTCCTAAAGTGACTATTGCACCAGCTTCCTGTGCCAAGGAGTCACCTCCTCACTGCCAGAGGGGTCAGAAGCTCTGCTTGTGTGGACTCAGGGAGGGAAATCTGCTCCTCACAGCTGTGGGACTGACAGCTGACATCTGTTCATACAGACACGCTCCCAGCTGTCTCTGCACTGCAGCTCTGTGGTTGCTAATACTCCCGGGGAGACCGCCAAGCAGGAGCTCCAGAAGGACCATGAGGGTGGAGGCCTTGGCTCTTCTTCGGATCCCAAGACCTCAGTAAAGACAGTGGTCGCCAGTGCTCACCCTCTTTCTCCCGGGGCCTCTCCTGAGCAGGGAGCGGAAACCACCCCCTTGTCTGGTCACATCCTCGTTTCCAGCTTCTCTCCTCCCCACAGCTGTGTGGGGATGGGGATCAGAGTAGCATGAGAATTTTTTTGACTTTCTAGATCTTTCTTTTCTAAGTCTGTTAACTCACCACTGTAACTTAAAAGTAAGGTCTTTGCTGCCTTTGTCTCAGGCTTGTCAGGACTGGAGAAGGTCTCTGGGGTAAAGCTCAGGGGCAAGGAGGTGGGGGAAGGCTTGCGGTGCAGTCACCACTGAGGTGCCAGCTGTCGTCCCGCCCTGGTTTCCTCAGCTCCCAAGTCACCCGGCTGAGCAGAAATGTCTTTCCACGGGCTGGTTTTGGCCTTTCCTGGCCCAGAAATCCAAAGGCCTTTCCCTTTAACCTTAGCCCTTTCCTGGTGCTGGGACTGGTGGCCCATAAGGGGCAGGAAAGCCTGGACAGGGCTTGCCTTCTCCCTTTGGCTGATGAGCGCACAGCAGGCACCAGACTAGACCGATTTCTTTCTCAATATCTCACCCCACTACACACTTAGGTCGTAAATTCACAGCACCAGTAAGGACCTCGGGAACCTCAGAGAGCCCAATTAACTCTGAGGGCCAGTCTCCGTGCCAAACACCAGAGAGCAATAAATAACACAGCCCTGAAAGGCACACTCTATTTGGGGACACTGACATTTAAACAACTAATTCCAACAACAGACAGGTGCCAGCTCGCTCGGGGCTGGGCCATGGAGCTCAGAAGAGTGAGGACCCAGCACAGGCAGAGAAGCCTCCAGGTGACACTTGGCACATTTTTGAAATCCTAATTTTGCTTTTTTTTTTTTTAAAGATTTATTTCTGCATACAGAGCTGGGGTATAGGCCAGAGGTGCAGGGGCAGTAAGAAGATTCACCCGAAACAGAGTGGGGAGCAGAACAGGCCGGCTGAACTGACAAAGTCCACTGCTGAGGGGAGCAGCGGGCCAGTCAGGAGAGGTCTGCTGTGCCATGTGGTCACCTCCAGGGCAGGGATCGAACTCATGCTGAAGTGGCTTTAGCTTCTTAGTGCTGTGCTTTAACCCGCTGCGCCACCAGAAAGAGCCCATAAGTTTGCTTTTTGTAAAAAAGACATTTGATTTTTGTAGTCATTCAAGCACCCAGCCCAAAGAAGAAACTAACAGTTATCTCTCAAGTCCCACAACCCAGAAATAACCAGTATAAACTTGCAACATGTGAGCTTGCTACAATTTACAAGAGAAACATAAACCTCTGAAAATGAAGGAGCCAGAGCAAAGGTCTGGAGTGGGAAAGAGCAACTGTGCAGGGGTGTGGGGTGCCCGCGAGGGGCAGCCAGGCTGACGCTGCAGGAGTGCCTGCTACCTGCTTGCAAGCAGGGGTCCCACAAATACATGCTTCAAGCATGAGTAACACATGGGAGGTAGGCTGGCAGCATGGAGAGAGGAAGAGAAGTCTCAAGGCCTAATTTGCGGTGAGGTGATAATGTGACAGCCTCCCATTAACGAGCTCTTGCACAGACCAAGCCCTAACCTCCTGTTATTCATTGTAGCCCAATTAGCTCTCACAATGGCATCACCTAAGTACTGTTATTATTGTCATTTTACAACCAAGGAAACACCCCTGAAGATGAGATGACCTGCCCAAGATCGCCCACATAGTTGCCTAGGGCCTGTACATACGTGGGTGCCCGACCCAGTGCACCCCGGGAACTCAGTGTCAGCAACAAGCTGAGTGTTAGCGTGAAACCCCTCCCCCTCCGGGGTTCTTTATTTAGTACTTCAGAATCATTTGTCATGTTCAGCCCCCGCAGTCCTCAAGGTGGCTGGTCAAAGGGCTTTCTAGACCCCACTAGCCCTAGAGAAGTTCAGTTTAAAATATATACCCCACTCTGTCTCTGGTGAATCTTCTCAACACTTCCCCCTCCCCCACATCTCTGGCATACACCCCAGCTCTTGGATGGGTAAAGAAATAAAATTTCTTTTAAAGAAATAAAATGTGTTACACCCCACTTCCGAAGAACCTGTAGTTTTCTTCCACTACAGTGACAACTGTCAGGAGCCTATTTTGTATGGCAAAGTGCTGGTTTGATTGGTTTTTGCACCAGGGAGAGGGGGAGGGGAGCCAGGTGGAGGCCTCAGCCAGGGCCTGGGAACCCCCACTTGCAAGGCTCCCACCTGGGGGTGGGACTGGAAGCCTCCTTTGAGGAGCTGGTTTCCCTCCAGTGTGGGGGCAGAAGAGAATCAGAAAGGCAGAAGGAAGACCTGGTTGACTCAGGTGGAGTGGGTAGATAAGAGCAGGCAGGCCGTGAGACAACCACATGCAGAGGAGATATTCATTTAAAAAAAAATTTAAGTTAGCAGTCAAGCTTCTGAGGTTTGGTGCTCTCTGTCCTCCGCATGCCATCTTACACACTTCCTATGTTCTGAGGACTCGGGAGCAGCCTGGGGAGGCCCACATCTGCCCATCCCATCCCTCCCCTCATCCCCGCACCTCTGGCCTGTACCCCAGTTCTTGTATGCAGAAGTAAATAAATCTTTTAAAAAAAATCTTAATGCCTCAGAAACTCAGCATGAAGTATCACAACCCCTCACCCTGCCCCATGTCTAATCACATTCCTCACAGACAGGTCTTTTTGCCATGAGGAATCTTGGTTCTCACTCAGATCCGACTCATTGGAGACATGGGCCCCGGGGCCCGGCTCTAGAACCTGCCTCTGAGCAACCTCTGCTTCCTGCCAGACCAGGTACTTGGAGGGAAGGCAGAGAGGACCTGGATCACCCAGCTCTCTGCACAGCTGGCCAGGCCAGCCTGCAGCCCTTGGGGCCCTGGGGGGGCCTGGGCACACAGGGTGGGAGTCAGCAGCTCAGGAAGAGGAGCAGGAGGAGAACCCACTTCCTGTGGAAAGCGAGTTAGCTCTTCCTTGCCCCCTCAAAATAGTCTCAGTGGCCACTATTGTTTGTACTTTCCCAAAATGCAAAGAGGGTTCCAGGAGACTGTTGGGGGCAAGAAGGCAAGGGGGTTAGAAACAAATTTTGAACAATCTTCAAAGTGTGGGACCCTTTGGTAGGCCCAGGAGGTGAATTATCTGCTTCTGGGACAAGTGTCCAACCAGCAGGACAGGAGTGGACCTTTTCCAGAAAGGAACACAGCCTATAGCCAGGGGCCACCGAGGACAGGCCTCAGGGAGCACAGTCTGTGAGGAAGGCAAGCCTGGAGGGGCCCTCCTAACCCATTCTAGCTGCATTCTGGGGGTAACACCTAGATCAGACACTGTCAAAATGCAAAAGTCATACCAGCTCTGTTAATAGCACATTTGTGACAAAAGCCTGTCCCCACTATCTCCTGCCACCCACAGAATCAGTGCTGGGGAGGCCAGGGATTCTCATGTGTTTTTGTAAGCGCCAGCTTTAACCTTGCTAAGATATATAAATAAATAAAATATTATTAAACTCAGGGGCTCATAAGATTCTAAATACTGGGCCTCCCTGTTGACACAAGGGGTTAAAGCACAGCACTATGAAACTACCTACAGCCATTGCAGCACCAGTTCACTCCCCAGCCCGGGGAACTGACCCACAGGGCGCAGCAGACCTCTCCTGTCTCTCCTGCTGCTCCCCTCAGCAGTGCATTTCATTGGATATACGTGGACTCTGTCTCTGTTGAATTCTCTCATCCACGCACCTCTGGCCTGTACCCCAGTTCTTGTATGCAGAAATAAAAAATCATTTTTTTTTTTAAGATTTATTTATTTACTCATACAGAACTGGGTACAGGCCAGAGATGCGAAAGGTGAGAGGATTCACCAGAGACAGAGCAGGGAGCAGAACAGGCAGATCCAGGAAGTACACTGCTGAGGGGAGCAGCGGGCCGGTGGGTCAGGAGAGGTCTGCCGCGCCATGTGGTCACCTCCGGGGAAGGCGGGGATCACACGCATGCGGAAGTGGCTTAAACTTCTTAGTGCTGTGCTTTAACCCGCTGCGCCACCAGGGAGGGCTGAAATAAAAAATCTTTTTAAAAAATCCTAATGCCTCAGAAACTCGGCATGAAGCATCACAACCTCCCCCACCCTGCCCCATGTCTAATCACATTCCTCACAGACCACAGTGCACCTGGCCGAGCAGGGAGCAGGCAGGAACCAGGCAGGAACGTGTTTTCTTTCTCACCCAGCGCTGAACAACACTTCCTGTGCCCCGTGCTTCATTAGCACGTTGGTGGTGTCGCTTCCTGCCACTGACTGTGTTTCCATTTTAGCAAAGTGTTTCCTCTTTTCTTTCTGTTTTGGGGTAGGAGGAAAGATGAGCTTCTCAAGGGCCCTCCCTCAGACTTCTGGCGTGTCTCCACCTCTGTAGCCCTGCACTTCCATCAGAAGCAGCAACCAGACCAGCGGCTTGAGCCACCTCACTGGGGAGTACCGTGCCTGGGTGAGCTCTCAACTCCTGCATGGGCCCTAAGCCACAGCCAGGTAGAGCCAGTTTGTATTTTGGATCAGACCTGACAGGTATTCCAGGGGTAGATATGAGTAGGGAGTTTGTTGGAGAAAAGAGGAGAAGCTTGAGAAAGGAAGAAATAATAACAAATATGTTTTTTTTGTTTGTTCGCTTGTTTTGTTTTTGGTGAAGGGTTCTGCTGAATAAAGAGTAAAGAAGAAATTTTGAGGATAAAAATGTATGTGTTGTGGGGCGTTTGGAAGATGTGAGAGACCAGATGATTTCAGTCATTCTTAGCTACTTAAAAAAAAAAATGTGGTTGTGCCTCACAGGACAATATGTAAAACGCAAACCAATTTTGCCTTTTCTCCTGGGAATAAGCAACTTAAAGGAAGCCAGGAAAAGTGGCAGCCATGCTGACTAGCCCATCACAATTACGAGAAGACATTAGGAGAAGCTGATGGAAGCCAGATAGTGTCTCAGAGCAGGCGTGGCAATGGCAGCCAACCAGCCACAACCAGAAGTCACACAAGGGACCTCGGACCCCAGCACTGAGCAGGGAAGTAGCAACAGCATGGAAAGGTAAGTGGCTGGGTGGGGAGACCCACCTTCCCCTGCTTCAGACAGAGGGCCCTGCCTGACCTGCCCGGTTCCTGCCCCAGCCAGGCCGCCACTCCCCACACAAACCGCCACACTCTAGGCCCTGAGTCCTCAGGACTGCTAGGAGGCACAGTTATTGAGGGGGAAAAGGGAGTAGCTGAGGGAGACCACCCAGGAGTTCCTTAGAGTCAGCTGCCTGGCCTGGGGAGTCCTCACCCCATGGGCCCAATGACTGTCTCCAACCTTTCCTCTCTACAGTTGCAACAACCACTCCTCAAAAGGAAACTAGGCCCCATCATGTTGGAAACAAAAGATCCGTTTCTTTAAAGATGTATTTTTAGGTCTTCAAAATTTGCCATGAATGAAAATGTCATTATAGATGTGATCGAGATAGGGCTTTCAGAACTAATCGTGGGTGTAAATGTTACTACTGGAACTTTCAATACACTAACAAAAAACCAAAGGCCATCAGCAGCTGAAACTTTGGGACTGGTTGATTTAGATCTCAGGTGACAGTCCAGCTCAAGGATAGGAAAGTAAATGCTGGTATTACTGTGGTAAACGTGTCACTTACAGGTAAATGGGAGCATTGTTGAGGGATGAACTCCAACTTGTCAGAATCTTGAAGCTCCTCCCAAAAAGCTATTTTTACATGTACTCACTTACTAATCCCCTCATTCATTGAACAAATCCCCAGCCGCCTTCTACTCAGCACCAAGCACTGCTCCAGGCACCAGCGAACGGGCTAGACAACTCCATGACCTTGTGGAGTTTAAAAGTCAGATGGGGCAATCAGCCACAAACCCTTAAGTGAACAAACAGGGTATAACATCCATCAGTCCCAAGTGCCATGAACTAGGGAACTGAGGCTAACAGGGTGTAGTCAGGAAGGAGCTGTCTGGAAAAGTGACATTTCAGAAGAAACCCAAATGAAACGGGAATCTAAGCCAGGCAGAGAGCTGGGAGAGGTAGTGCAGGCTTGACAAGGCTGTGCTGTGCACAGCACGGAATAGCATGGAGCCTGGCAGGTAGAGCACAGGGGAAGTGGTAGGAAATGAATTCAGAAAGGAGGCAGAGGGCAGACCATAAGGTGCTGTGAAGCCTTCGCCGAGTGGGGACAGGAAATAATGGCGGTCACAAACAGAGGGATGTAATCTGATTTACTGTTCAGAGGAGCTGACATGTATGACATTAGTATGTGAGAGCCGGGAGTGTAAACCCGGAGAGCCACCGGGAAGGTCACTGCGGAGGTGATCCAACGTGGGTCACACAGTGCCCTGCACCAGGGCAGAGGGTGGAGCAAGTGGGGACTGCAATAGGGACAGAATCTGCTGGTTGGCTAGAAGTGGGGCATGAAAGAAAGAGAACGGCCAAGGATGGCGCCAAAGCTTTTTATTTTTTTAAATAAATATTTATTTATGAATACAAGAACTGGGATGTAGGCCAGAGGTGTAGAGGGTGAGAGGATTCACCAGAGACAGAGTGGGGAGCAGATTAGGCAGATTGAGGGGGGCAGCAAGAGCAATAGGAGAGCACTGCTGTGCCATGTGGGTCACCTGCCTGGTCAGGGGTCAAACTCGGGCTGCAGTTGCTGGGGAGAGCCTCAGAGAGCTGCACCTTAACCCCTTGTGCCACCAGGGAGGCCCAGTGCCAAAGCTTTTACCTGAGTTACTCCATGATGGAAAATGCCAGAGCAAGAGCAGGCTTGTGTGGGGAGAACAGCTATTCTGCTTGGGACATATTATGTTGAGATTTCTCCCAGGTGGGTTAGTGGAAATGTCCAGTAGAAGTTGGATAAACAAGGCTGGGTCTTGGGAGGAAATCTTCCTTAGAGGACCCGCCTTCTAATATTTGGGGGTGGCAAGTCCACTCGTGACTCCTGCCGTCTCCTCACAACCTGTTTTCTGTGACGTCGGCAGTCAGCCCAGCGCTGCCGGGAGCCACACGCAGCACAGAGATCTTTGTGCATTTACCTCTTTAAGTTCCACACACGGAAAGTGTAGCTGGTGACCAGCTCAGTTGGTCGGTAGTGCCAGTGCATGCATGCTGGACTGTCCAGTAAGTCCCCCACTGTAAACTGGGTGCAGTTTACAGTGTCTCCTCCACGTGAGACAGGAAATGCAGGCGCAGGAACAAGGGGGGAGCTGGGAAGATGGGCTTGACTGCAAGTTTGAAGGACAGCGTGGTGCAGCTAAAAGAGACAGTCTTGGAGTCCACACAGACCCCAATTCACATTCGGTCTCTGCTCCTCCCCTCCCAAGTGCTATCTGCCATGTTGCCTTCCGAGTCTCCATCTCAAGTTTCTGGGTCATAATGAGACTGGAGTGTTGTAAAGACTAAGTAAGTTTCACATGTCAACCCCTAGCTTCCCAGAGGCACACACAAGGGTCAGCTCCCTTCTCCCTTCCTGGGGTCACTTCCCCTCTGCTGGGAGGTCACTGCTCAGTGACTCCTTCCGTCAGAGCCCGCCGCCCTCAGCTTTCCTCCCAAAGCCAGGAAGAAGCATCATCTCCAGCCTCCCCTGGCTCACGACGCTTGACTTTCTTCCTAGAGCCAACTGGATCAGCATCGTTTCTGGGTCTGCGGGCCTCCTCATCGTCCTCCTGTTCATCACAATTTTCTGTGTCCTGTGGAACTGGAATAAGTGGAAGAAGCGTGAGTGCCTCACTTGTGCAATATTGAGACATGCTAGGACCCATACGTGGCCTGAAATATCACAGCCCAGCGATATCTAAACGGTCGCACCCGGGAGTGCTCCGTCCGGCCCAGCACACCAGTCATTGTCGCTCCAGATCCTGAACCTTGGCCTCAGTGGGCTCCAGCTAGTTGGAGTTCCATTTTGGAGGTGATTGCCCCAACGGCCCCTGAGCTCCGTTTCCTCTCGCTTCTCCTCCCCCAACTCCTCGTCTTTTTACCTCAAATGGAATTGGAAAGGTCTGTGATGCATGTGAGGGCGAGGAGTAGTTCCAGGGACCGTCTCAACCCCCAGCTCTGCAGCAGCTGTCTGACCCTCCTCTCTCTCCTCACCTTGCAGGGCACGGTCCTTACTTTCAAGTTGCCATCTTGCCCTCGCTGGGTCTGCCTCGACCCAGACAACGAGCCAAAAATATTTATGACCGCTTGCCCCGGAGGCAGGAAGCGCTGGGTAAGTCGCCCTTTCTGATGGGTGAAGTACACACACATGGAAGTTCTGCCCCACAGCGCACTTTGCACCACTCAGAGGCAACTTTCTTTGAACTCTCAGGGTTTCGGCAAGCTTGGAAGATGCACAGATTGACTGCACGAAGTATAGAAGTATAGAGAGCTTTTAAGGTTTAGGGTTTTGTTTGTGCATGTTGTTAAGGTAGCAGAGGCGAGTGGGAGTGTCTCAGGGTGCGTGCAGGAGAACTCGGTGCTGGCACTGTAGGCTGGGAGGCTTCTCCTCGGGAACCTCCCACCTGCCTCTCAAGCCCTGTGCAGGTGTCCCACTGCACCACAGAGGATGAAGGCTAGGTCTCAGAGCGTCCCCTGGAGCTCTGATGCAAATACCGCACACCAGACACACCCACTTCACCCCAGGTTTGAGACTGAAGCACATACCACCTAACCAGCCGCATTTGTCCTCTGTCCTTCCAGTGAGACGCCAATCAAGGGCTGTCCGTATTTTCAGTAACACGAGCCTCCTATCCAGAAGTCCCGACAGTCCTCCCTCTGTGTGTGTGGTAAGTGTGGGAACGGCGGGCCCCTGGGGAGAAAGGACATATCTCTGGCAGATGAACTGAGGTGAAAGAGAGCTGAGCCTCAGATTTGGTTTCACCACTAAGTGTCCTATGGCACTTGCTCTGCATCCTTTTAATAAATTGGGAAGACTAAGCTCTGGTCCTCCTTAATTTCCCAAGGAGGGAAATCCGGAGAAGAGCAAGCACTTGGGACTTTAAGAAAGGTACCATGGGCCCTCCCTGGTGGCACAGAGGGTTAAAGCGCAGCACTGAGGGGTTAAAGCCACTTCCGCATGAGTTCAATTCCCACCTGCCCCGGAGGCGACCACATGGCGTGGCAGACCTCTCCTGACCCGCCCACTGCTCCCCTCAGCAGTGAACTTCGTAGATCTGCCTGTTCTGATCCCCACTCTGTCTCTGGTGAAGCCTCTCGCCACCCCTGAGCCTCTGGCCTGTACCCCAACTCTGTATGCATAAATAGATAAATCTTTAAAAAAAAAAGAAAGAAAGAAAAAAATAATAAATAAATAAAGAAAGAAAGAAAGAAAGAAAGAAAGAAAGGCACCAGGGCCCGTGTGTTCAAGGACCTGAAATCAGAATTGAACTGATCGTTTTAACAAATACGATTTCTTTTTTTAAGATTTATATATTTATGATATAAGAACTGGGGTACAGGCCAGAGGTGGGGCGGGGAGGGTGGTGAGAAGATTCACCAGAGACAGAGTGAGGAGCAGAACAGGCAGACTGACTGAAATACACTGCTGAGGGGAGCAGAAATACAGGAGAGATGGTCTGCTGTGCCATGTGGGTCCGCTCCGAGGCAGGGATCAAACTTGTGCTGTAGTGGCTATGGAAGAAACCCAAATGCTATGAAGAGCCAGGCAGACAGCTGAGAGAGGCAGTGCAGGCTTGACAAGGCTGTGCAGCACAGCAAGGAATAGCATGGAGCCTGGACGGCAGAGCAGAGGGGAAGTGGTAGGAAATGAGGTCAGAAGGTAGGCAGAGGGCAGACCATAAGGTGCTGTGAAGTGGGGACAGGAAATAATGGCGGTCACAACAGAGGGACATAATCTGATTTACTGTTCAGAGAGCTGACATGTATGACATTAGTATGTTAGAGCTGTGCTTTAATCTGTTGCGCCACCAGGAAGGGCCCTAACAGACATGATCTAGTCCGCTGAGTGTGATCCCCCCATCAGAGCACCCACCTGGGAGGTACACACACCCCAGGCAATGCTACAGCTCCTCAAGCCTGGGAATGACTTCTGGGGTGTGCAGCAGTTTGTTTCAGTGATTCCCAGGGGCAGAGTGATAAGGCGTTCAGAGTGGAACTGGTGCAGAAAGAGTCTGGTCACACCAGGACATCCTCTGAGGTTGCCAGAGTGACGCCATTGGTGGCGTCCAGCCCAGCCCTGTGTCTCACCACCTGCTACTGAAGGCAGCTTCCCCAGGGATGGCAGAGGGATGCCACTGGAGCTGGGAGGGGTGGGGGGCTTATTTCCCGTGAGTCTGGGAAGGGCATGTCCTGGGGGCTGTGTGGTCTCTTCAAGCACAAGCTGCCTTGTGTGCTGGGGGCTGTGGGTGGACAACCCCTGGTGACCCGAGGTTTGGGCGCCCCTGAGGTGCAGCCACCTTTGCCTCCCCCTCCCCCGCACACCCCATCCCTGGGCCCTGCTGTAGCCTCCCAGACTTCCCAGAGCAGGAAGTCTGAAAGGATAAAGGGCGGGGAAGAGGAAACTTCTTTGCCAGAACCATTCCAGGATTTGGTTGGCCCTGAAGGATCTGGCACTTAGAGCTAAGATCCCAAACTGACTTAAACCCACAAGTATGTTTGTCTTGGGCCCCTTAATATTTGAAGAACAGTTTAAACCAGTTACCAACAATGAAACTCTCAAACACTTCGCAATGAAAGTTCAGATGTCTACTTTTCTTAAAAATTCAAAAGTTCTGGAAACATTCGACCAGCACCCTTAGATGGCCATGAGTCCACATGTCAGCTGCCTCTTTGCGAATCACGGCTAGTCTTTCGGGTGTTTTCGCTGAGCCAGGTGCTATTCTACACACTTTATACATAGCAATCCATTTGTTCCCATGGAAACTTCATGTCATAGATTTATGGTTATCCCCATTTTATGTTAAGAAATTGAGCCACAGAGCGATTAGGGAACTTACTGAAACTCGGTGGTGAGCTGGGATTTGCAGCTTCATTGTGAGCTAAGCTTCAGCCTGTGCCCCTACATGCCAACAGATTCCCTCTCATGCTTCGAGGGAGTGGGCTTTTCAAGTTTCTATACTTCCGCCAACTCCTGCACTGAATATCCACTCTGTGGCCAAAAGCCAGTTGGTATCTATCGTCGCTATTTCCTTCCTTGACTTCAGTCATACTGACTTAGCAGCTATAGCCTTGCAGTCTACGATCTTCAGTTTAGAGGTTTTCCCCAAGGCTGAGGCTTAAGTGAAGGCAGGAAAGAAGAAAAGCTTACATGCACCCCCATCACTGGGTTTCTCTTCTTGCCTGTAGGTCTCCCCAGTGGACAGTGGCTTCCAGCCACATGAAGCCCAGGCTCCTGCAAGGGGCCACACAGTGGGCTTCTGTGGCAGTGCCACAGAGCCCCAGATGTGTGGCAATCTCTGTCCCTCGGCACACATCAACGTCAGAGCTTCCCGAGACTGCTCGAGCAGTTCTTCAGAGGACTCGAGAGATTATGTCAATGTCCCCACAGTAAAAGAGCTTGGTGAGACTCTGGCTTCTACGGGAAACGCCCCTGACGGCCTCTTTGTCCTCCCAAGTACCCCTGAGCTGGAGTTTACAGAGGAAAGAGACTGGCGCTGTGAGAGTGGCCTTGCCCACTCTGGTCTTTGGCCTTTGGGAACTGAGTTCAGTGATCCACTCAGTGACGGGGAAAGCTCTTCTCAGAGCTCAAGCGGCTACATCAACATGGCAGTCATCCGGGAGCAGCAGCCCTGGGTCACTTTTCAGCAGTGTGTAGATTATGTGAATGTCGCATCAGCAGATCCGCACGAAAGTCAGCAGCAGGCAGAAGAGGTGGTGTTCTCAAACACTGAGCCTGTAGGGGGCCGGACAGAGACTCCTGAGACCCGCACCCAAGATGTCATGCCACCAGGCAAGGCCCTGGCTTTAGGAGATTACGTGAACTGCCGGCTATCTGCACAGGAAGAGCATAATGCTGGAAACCTTGGAGAAGAGATGTCAAATGAAGATTCTAATGACTATGTGAACATGCCAGCTGCCAATTTAGGAGAAAAGGATGCCAAGGAGGAGACTGATATCCATGAATCAACATCCAGTCACCTGCTAGAAAGCCACATAGAATCGTCTAGTGAAGACCCATGACCACACTTGTATTTTGCGGGTTTTGTTTGGTTGTGCCAAAAAGAGGGTGAGTTGAGTAGGAAGTGAAGAGATTCACAAAAGCAGAGGAAAGGAATTCTTCTCATCCCCATTGTCCCTCCTACCAACCCAAAAGTGTTGGCTGAAAGTGCCTTGCTGGACCCCTTGGGGGGTGAGGGGGGTTGAATGGTGCTGTAGAGCACAGTGGAAATATGAAGTAATCGCAAATCCGTCTCTACCCTCATACAAAACCAGCATGCACACGTTTATTTTGTAATCAAGGCAGAGGTTAACGGAAGGGGAAGGTCCGAGTGAGGTAGGAGACCAGTTCTAGTTTCAAAATTATATGGATGATCAGATGCTGGTGAGAGGTCTTCCTCTCACTCCTTGCTGATGAGCTGGCAAAGCATAACATCCACTTTGCAAAACTGGCAGTTGTTATAAATGTACACTTATTATATAACCCAGCATTCTGCTGTTAGTTATTTATTCAAGTGAATTAAAAACCTGTCTTCTCACAAAAGCAACCACTAACTGCCTACAGCACTTCATTCATAATTGCCAAAAACAGAAAGAGCTTGGTGAAAGTTTTTCTGGAAGGTATTAGGGTGGTAGATAGATGACTGATTCTGTACTTGCCAACACATACACACTCTATAGAATAAAAAGTAACTTTTATTGCATGGGAATTTGAAAACTAGGGAACCCCCTGATGGAATGCAGATTGTCATAAACAATCTTAACTGTCCAGCCATGTGGAGTGTGGGGGGAGTGGGGAGAAAGGAGCTGACCTAAATAACTTTGAGAAGCAAAAATTTTAGTTGAAACTAAGATACAGACACAAAGAACTGCACACAAACATTGTGTTCTAGTTAGTAAATTGGTATCTCATAAGAATGTATGTTTGCAATCCTGAAAACTACTTTAAATGTACACTAAGGTTGAACAAATAAGTAAACATATTACAGCTAATTCTTTTATTTTTAAAGATTTATTTATTTATGCTTATAGAACTGGGGTACAGACAAGAGGTGTGGTGGGTGAGAGGATTCACCAGAGACAGAGTGGGGAGCAGAACAGGCAGATGTACTGAAATACACTGCTGAGGGGAGCAGCAGGTGGATCAGGAGAGGTCTGCCACGCCATGGGGGTCAGCTCCCTGGCTGGGATCGAACTCATGCTGCAGTGGCTGCAGAGAGCTTCATAATGCTTTAACCCACTGCACCACCAGGGAGAGCCCACAGCTAATTCTTACTGTCATAGAAAGAAGTGACAGTACACATGGGAAAATCTACAATTAATTTGGTGCTGCTGAATTAGAGTTGGGGATACAGTTGAATCATGTTAATTTTAATATAAATATGAATAGATACAGAAGTAAGCACAGGCGTGTGTCTACATGTAGGCTAGTGTACATACATTTCCTAACTCTGCCCACTAAAAGAGTCAGAAGCAGTGACACCCATGAGCAATGAACACACTTAGCACTCAGACCTTGGTTTCTAATTTTCACTCTCCAGTAAAAGAAAGCAGAGCTCCCTGGCGAAATGGCCAGGTGTAAGGCTAGAATAGGGAAACACAGGATGAGGCTGATCATCTTGTGGGAAAGGAAGAGGAAAGGGAATGGATAAGAAGTGAAGAGGGAAAAGAGGAGGAGGAAGGGGAAGAAAAGATGAGAGCATGCAAAGGAGTGGCTGAAGGGATTTCCAAAAGTGACGTAGAACAATCTGAACAATACAATAATTATAAAATAATTATTCAAGTTTACACCGATAGTTAAATAAATAAATAAAATGGAGGAAAGGGATAAATATTCCTTGCAGGCGAATTCCAAATAATACATGTAGAAGAAACGAAGTGGCAATGGGGTTGGGGGGGAGGGGGGTTAACTGGGGGAGGAAGCACCATTAAGACACCACAGAATAATTGCTGGTTATTAGTGGGTGACATTATTTTTTAATATTGGTTTATTTATGCATACCAGAACTGGGGTACAGGCCAGAGATGTTGGGGGTGAGAGGCTTCACCAGAGACAGAGCAGAGAGCAGAACAGTCTGACTGAAATATACTGCTGAGGAGAGCAGTGGGCAGGTCAGGAGAGGTCTGCCACACCATGTGGGTCCGCTCCCTGGCTGGGATCTAACTTGTGCTGCAGTGGCCTCAGAGAGCTTCATGGTGCTGTGCTTTAACCCGTTGTGCCACCAGGGAGTGCCCTAGTGGGTGACATTTTAAGGAGAAATAAGATAGGAGCACAGCCTCAAAGAATTTCTCCCCAAATATTGCATACCTTTGATGATTTTTTAAAAATGTCCGCAAGTTATCTGCTAGTTTCCCTGGAACTTAACTTAACCTCCCTCCCCTTCAGCATGGCCTGGATTCAGTGATTCTTTTCTCATGAATAGAATATAAAGAAGGGAAAACAGTAAACTTACAGCGGAAAAACTTCCAGACACCCCCTTGACCATGTGATCAAAATTAACCCATGCAGTAACATCCTGTTCCTAATATGAGCAAGGGGAAACATACTGTCCTTGAGTACCAAACTCAGGCTTATAAGAAAACCCAAATTGAATTTACTCAATGCAACCAAATCATAAATAAATGTAAATCTTCTGTTTGACTGGAAACAAAAATTGGCATTCCACAAATGCCTGACTAGAACTCTTTCAGTATTAAAATCATGCTCAGAACCTGAGGAGACCCAACAAGGAGTGGCTCTACATGGGATGCTAGCATTGAGGGAAGCTAGCTAGCACAGGGGCTCCCTGTATGAACTTTGCAACTTTCCTGTAAAATACTCCAAAGTAATGAGATACCACCTCACCCCAGTGAGAATGGCACATCTTCAAACAACTAGCAACAACAAATGTTGGCGAGGATGTGGAGAAAAAGGAACTCTCCT